TTTGGAGTTGGATTCTGAGAGGCAGGAAGTAAGAGAAGGAGGAAGGAAGGCAGAGCTTATTTCTAGAAGTATGAAGTGTGGGGGATGCACTCTTGTTTTAGAAAGGCAGAAAACAATTATAAACACGGCTTTTCAGTTTTCTGAATTTTTTTCTGAAATGTAAGCCACCACAAAGAAGGAAAGGCCAATTTTTCTACAGCGTAGCTTTTAATCTATCAGTCAAATATAAGCCAATTCTCCATGTATGCCTACAAGACAGCAGAAAACCAAGACGGCTCTTATAAATTTCAATGGCACATGGGAAAATATTTTTAGGTTTAATGTATGTGTTTATATCTAGTTAGTTTGATTAGAAAATTGATCCACCAAACTAGTAATATCATGGCTATCATTTAGAATGAGATAAAATCTTAAGTTTCAACTTGAAGGAAAAAATAATAATGGACTGTAATTCTCGAATGTGACAAAAGCAATGCCATGACCAAAATCTTGGATAACAATTAACAGAGAAGGAAAAATGGAAGCTGAAGAATAACAATTTATGACAAGCACAGTGGCTTATACCTGTAAGCCCAGTTAGACTGACGTTTGAGACCAGCCAAGGCAAAAAAAAAAAAAAAAAAAAAGCAAAACCCCTAACTCAATCAATAAACTGGGCATGGTGGTACATATCTATAATCCCAGCGAGAGGCAGGCATAGATAGGAGGATCACAGTCTGAGGCCAGCCCCAGGCAAAAATGTGACACCCTACCTGAAAAATAACTAATAAAGCAAAAAGGAAATGGGGACATGGCTCAAGTGGTAAAGCCAAGCATGAGGCACTGAGTTCAAACCCAAGTACTGCTTAAAACAATAATAATAACAATTTATAACAGATGGCCTCTAAAGCAAAAGTGAGGCAAAAAAAATGTTTTCCTAAAGTAATTTATTCTATAGTTGACAATTTTGAAAAGGTGATTTTCTTTTCAGGTTACCAGAGTATGGTTTCAGGCTTTCTGATCACACTAAAGATCTGAGCTTTCTGTGTATGTTGTATGTTCTTCACAGAAAGAACCAAAAGGACTGTTTTTTTTAAGCATTTGAATATTAGGTCAGGGTTTTTTAGAGCAGGTCTCACAGGACTAATTAGCCAGGCCTTTTTTTCTAGTGCAGAAGAACCGAAAGCAGGCAGCATGGTTATGAAACTCAAGAGGCTTAAATGAAAACAAATTGCTGAGTTATGTTCCTACCAAATCAGAGACCATGTGACCCAATTTCTTCTCAGCCCTTCAGAGCAGGGCATGCTCCCCAGTGGTCATTTAAGTTGGGTTGTCCTGTGTGGACTGAAGATGACATGACTAGCCAACTAACTTAACATTGTAGAAACACAACCACTATAAGAAAAAAAAAAACAGCCACAGGTAGACAAATGTTTTGACATAAAATTACAATAGAAAACTTAAAAACACAAAGGCTCTGGAATAAACTTCCACCCTTCTGCACCATCCAATATGGGAACCATCAAAATTTAAATTCTAATTAATCGAAACTGAAATAGCCACAGATACAGAATGCTTTCACCGTTGCAAAAAGACTTCCTGCACTGCTCCTACTCCTACATGAGACTCATGAACAAGTGTGCCTGATATGTTTCCAATTCTCAAATCTATACCCAATAGCTACCGGAATCTTACACGCCAAACTGAGTTCTTACAGCCTTCGGGGTCATAATAGATTTTGCCCTTTATTTTCTCCAAAACTCTCTACACTTAAAAAAAAAATTACCTGCCTTAAGTGATGCAATATGTATGCCTCCGAGAGGCATAAAGGGAAGATTTCTCTCTCCTCTGGGGAACTGAAGAACCCAGGTGCCGCAAATAAGAAACTATTAAAAACAATTACAGTTCATAAAACTGTAAGAACAACATGATCACTAGAGAATTTAGTTTATAAGAACATAAGGCCTTTTCTTTCTTTTCACCAAAACCTCAGCTAACATGAAAGTCCTCTGCAGAGGCCACTTATTAAAAACAAGTTATAGTTATTCTGGATAATGATAAATTCTTGCTTTGAGGGAATAAAGTACACTGAATGCCCAAACCCTTAATTCAATAACAAACAAATATCCAACCTCATTTTTTACTGCTTTTTTTCTAAGAAAGGGTGACAAAAACATCTTTCAGTTTCAATCCTTCTTAGTTTCTCTACTGCTCACTGACTTTTCTAATGGAAAGAGACAGAAGGATCCTAATTTTAGGCAGTTCTTAGGCTTTACTCCAAGTCTATAAAACTCCCAGTAGCACTTCCACATGGCCTTGGAAACCCAGCTTAACTCCATTCCAGGGCTTCCCTCAAAAGCAGCAGACTGACATTTAAACCCGATTTCACTGCAGGGACTATCCCATGATTGCAGGACGTTTAGCAACATCCCAGACTATATTCACTACATGTCAATAAGAGCTGTCCCAGCTTGGACAACTGAACATTGTCCAATGTCCCCTGGGGTGCCAAATCACTCCTGGTTGAGAACCACTACTCTAACCCAAGGAGCATTCTTGGTTATCTCAGCCCTACTTTCCCTCAACTACTGGATTCTCCTTCAAAACTTTACATTGCGACTTTCTTTCCAATTCAGCCAGTGTTTACAGAAAACCTTGAAGATAAATCTTCAAGGGCTCTAGGAGAAAAACAGACAAGCTAGATTCCATCTCTACCTTCCAAAAGGATTTATGGGGAATAAGTGCATTTTAAAACACCCAATTATATATTGTTTTGTTTTTTGTTTTTTTACTGTGGAATTCTCATCTCACCAAATTGAGAAGAACTTGAGGATAAAGACTGTAACTTGCCCTGGAGTGCCAACACTCGTCTTAAAATTGGTTTCAAAATGGGGGTGGGGGGACAATAGAAAAAACACTACAGGGTGAATTCAATCAAAGTACATTATATGTGTTATGGAAATATAATGAAATTCCTTTGTACTATTAATATATGCTAATAAAATGATTAAAAATAAAAAGAAACAATCATAAACTTCATCATAACAAGGCGACAGTTTCATAGTAAATTGCCTTCTCTCAGGTGTACTTTGCTCCTCTGTAAAATCCTAGCTGCTCAGGAGGCAGAGGATCACTGTACGAAGCCAGCCCAGGCACATAGTTCAAGAGACCCTACCTCAAAAAACCCAGCCCAAAAACTGGCTGGTAGAGTGGCTCAAGGTGTAGGCCCTGAGTTCAAGCCACAGTACCACAAAAAAAAAAAAAAAAAAAAGGGAAGAGCTGACCCTGGACTGTAATAATAAATTCCTAAGTGACATAAACAGAAATACACTATCATCCCCCCCTTTTTTTGGTGGTGCTGGGAATTAAACCCATGACCTTATACATGCTAGGCAAGTGCCCTACCACTAAACCACATCCCCAAATCATCAACAAACATTTTTAATCCAAAGGTCTTAAAAGTACTCCATGAATGTATTAGAAGACAGTCAATTTAATACTTTATTTTAAAATATAGTGGTTAGGTATGTTTGCCATAAACACATGAGAACCTAAAGGAGAAGCTAAAACATCCTTACTTCATAAATGCACAGGACAGGTGCTTATGAGACATATACTTTTAAAAGTGCTCATGTGCTAAATCTTTAATCTTTTAGGAATACGCTTAGAATTTCTTTTCTTTCTTCCTTTTTATTTTTTTTGGGGGAATGGTGCTGGGGATTGAACTCTGGACTTCATGAGGGTGTTCTATCATGGAGCTACACCCCCAGCGCTGCTTAGAATTTCTATTGCCATAATACTAAATATATGCCATCAATTTTTAATTCCATACAAGTATGAAAAGTTCAAAATTTTTTAAAAGGCAAAATTTGATAGAAGTTTTCAGTAAGAACACAAGGTCATGGCAATCACAGGTAGGGGGGTGTTTGAGTGAAGTAACATTACGAGAGGGGATGTATTTGGGGACAAGTAGAAAAGCCACCATGATGGAAGAGATGGATCAGGAACACCTCCTCTGGCAGCACCAAGTGCCCACGACACAGCAGCTCATCCAATCCTTCCAACAATCCTACCACGCAGTTTCTGTGAGTACCACATCTTACAGAAGAGGAAACCCGGACACTTGTGGAGAAGTAGAGACTTGCCCACGGTCACCTAACGTGAAGATCCAGACTAGCTCCAACAGCCGTGCCCCAAACACTGTCCTTTATGGCGCGTAACCTGGACATTTGTGTTTGCTACTCCCCTCTGCCCTTTTGTATTCCAAGGCGCATGCTTCGAGTTGCACGCCCCGTGGATCTGATGAGGCTGAAAGGGCACGGTGGGATAGATTGTCCCTTTTGTCTTGGGACACGGAAATGATCCACACGGAGGGACTCGCGTGGGTAGAAATAGAGACACTGACCTGAATCAGAAGAGGTTGAGTTTTGGAGAATGAGGGAGGGAGGTCGCCAAAATTCCTACTGCAGCCCCTACCTCCTGCCTTTGCTTTGACTGTTAGGTCCATTCAAATAACCTGGAAGCCTACTTGTTCCGACCCTGCTTTTCAGCTCTCCCTCTAAGAGATGGAGAGATGGCGGCGAGGCAGGAGGCACCCGGGCTGGGGGGGACAGCGGTGGGCCGGGTGGGGAGCCAGGAGCAGGGGACAGCGAGGCCGAGGGTGGGGGAGATAGGTGCGGTGGGCGAACCAGGTGGCATGTGAGCCCTGGCTGCAGCTGAAGAGGCACCAGGGGCAGAGCGTCCATGTCACTACTATCATCGCGACTTAACTGAGAAAGGAAGCGGGACAGGAACCAAGACGTTTCGGAAACGGAGTACAGAATAACCTCGAGCGCACCCAGGGCCCGGGTGGTGGCCACTGGCAGGAGCCCAAGTCGTGCTCTAGGGTCAGAGGCGCCCGGTGCGCGCCTGGGCTGCGGCGGTGGGTCGGCTCCGCCAGGGACCCGGCTGCGGAGCGGGTGCCCAGGCGCGAGGCCCTAAGCCGGGCGGCATCCACCCTCCCGTGCCCTAGCCTTGCGTACCTGAGGCGGCCTCCTGGCTCCCCTCCACTCCCCGGCGGTCCCCGACGTCGCCCGCCGACCTTCGGCGGGCTGCGGGGCTCCAGAAGCCCGGCCCCTCAGCCGCCAGCGGATCCGACATCTGCAGCCCAAACTCGGAGCTTCTGCGCCGCCAGGCGCTCGCGGCTCCGGAAACAGCCGAAGACCGAGAGGACGAGGCAGCGGCGAGCCGAGCCGAGCCGAGCGGAGTGCGAGGCCGGAAGGAGAGGCGCGGCGGCCGCAGGAAGAATGTGTGGCTCGGTGATGGCCGCAGGAGCTCTGGCCAAGTCGGCCAGGCAGACGCGGGGAGGGTTACTGTGTGCTTTCAACTGCCAATTTTTTAAATCGGGGCTTGGAAGAATCAACAAAACCTGGGAGAGTCAGGAAGGCACGACCGGAAGTCGTGGTATCCATAGAAACGCTGTCGGAAGTTGGGGTTGCTAGGAGGCTCGGGTGCGTCCACTAAACTGCGTAATGGCTCAGGTCCCAGAAGATTATGATTCCGGTTCTGATGAAGATGAGAAGTCGGAGCCTGAACTGCCTAGACCTCATGAATTGTGTAACGATGCGAATCCAGGCACCATGACAGAAGCAGGCCCGGAGCTACCCTCGGAGACTAAGGAAGAGGACTTCGAAGACGGAGTCAGAGTGAAAAGACATCGGAAGAGAAGAGAGGAGAGCTTTACAAGGATTTAGAGGTCGTTGAGGATAAAACGCGTGAGGAGCCAGACCTAGAGCCACCAGAGGAGGCTAAACCAGATATTACACAGGATGCCGTCACAGAGTCAACTGCACAGACGGTTACCAAAGGAAACCAAGTCTGAGGTTTTGGGAGCCACTATCATTGAGACCAGATTAGAGGTGTCAGAGGAGAGTGAACAGGAGAACCCAGAGCAAGCACTTACGAGCCAATATGAAGAAACAGATCTAGAGCCTCCATATCATACCCTACCTCATTTTCCAAGTGAGAAACCAAGAAAATGGGTGGAAGAGGCAGATCTACAACTACCAAACATTACAGAGGAAGCACAAAGAGATTCAATTGAAGAGGAAAAGACAAAGCCATATGAACAGACTAAACCAGAGTTTCCAGACCAGAAACCCAGAAAATGTAGTGAAGAAGCAGATCTAGAGTCTCCAGGAGAGACTAAACCAAGGGATCCAGGGGAGATTCAAAGAAAGTTAGTTGAGGAGAGAGGGACAGAGCTACAGGTAAAGATCAACCCAGAGTTTCCTGAGGAAAAATCAAGAAAACCAATCGATGAAACAAATCCAGGGCCATCAGAAAAGACCACATCAGAAGTTCCAAAGCAGACAAGAAAGTCGTATGAGGAAAAGATTTCAGCGCCACCAGGAGAGACTGGTCTAGCACTGCAACAAGAGATCAAACCAGACACAAAGTCAATTGAGGAGAAAGTTCTAGAGCCATTAGAGTACACTAAACCAACAGATAAAAAAGAGAAGCAGAGAGAATCAAGTGAGAAGATAGGACTGGCAACATCAGAGAAGTCCAAATTAAAGAAAACACTAAAAGAAAACTGAGGAGAAAGCTCTAGAGCTGCCAGAACAGACTAAAAATTTCCAGAGAAGGAACCAAGCAAATCAACTGAGGAAACAGGCCAAGTTTCACTACAGATGTCTAGATCAGAAGAGAAGGCACAAAGACAGCCAACTGAGGAGTTATCAGATAAAGCCAAACCAGGAGAGAGACATACAGAATTTTCCAAGGAAGCCAGGCCAGAACCAATCAAATATAAGCATTCTGTAGACAAGGATGAGCTAGCACACCCTAAGTATCAAGCAATAAAGTTGTCAGTAAAAGAAACTGACAAAGATAAAAGAGACTGTGCATTAGGATTTTACAGAGAAAGTGAAGTAAAATCAGTTAGTACAGATTATGAGTGTTCTCAAGAACGCCCACAGCAGATTCAGCTTAATGATGTCAGTGAAGAATACTCAAACGTACATCCCTCAGAGTTTCAGATGGAATTAAGAGAGTCCTTTAGTGAAACAGTTGTAGATTTGTCTCAAGAGTTGGAGGAAGTGGTACCTACACATAGAGAATCCAAGTCAAAAAAAGGGAGTAAGTCACAATTTGAGCATCTTAAATGGAGTCCAGAGAAAGTTGCAGAGTGGATTAGCCAGTTAGGCTTCCCTCAGTATAAGGTATACACAAGTAACATTTTTTGAAAACACATGCTCTCATCTTACCTCATATTTTCTATGTCCTGACTTTAGCTCCTTCCTTTTCTTCACTAGGAGCATAAAAAAGTCTTGGACTGTGGGGAAGGTAACTTGGAGTGTGTGTGTGTGTCTATGTGTGTGTGCTGGGGATACAACCCAGAGCCTTATACATGCTAAGCATGCACTCTACTACAGCTACAACCCACAGCCTATAACTGTTGTATATATGTATTTTGGGAAAGAAAGGGAAGGTCATATTTGTTTTTCCTATTTGTCTCAATCCTTCAATAAAGGCCAAGAAATTTGTATAAGCCCCTTTTCATGGAAATTTATATTTTTAAATACATTTTGCCTAAGGTAGACATTTTTAGTACTTTGTTGTTTTAGTGACAATTCCCTTACCTTGAACTTGTACTGTTAATCTTAAGTATCTGTACCAAATATATCATGTGTATCATAAACAGAGTATTAATGTAAGTTAGTTAACCCAAATAACTTTTACCAAAAAGATTATATAAGTTTAATTTACTGATGCCAACTCTGATTTTAGGCTACCACAGAGCAACATATGATCTGAAACCTTTTGTGCCTTTTATACTTAAAAATATGTAATCGAGACAGGGAGCAGCATTGGTTGTCACATGCAAAAACAATTTTTAAGAAGCAGCATAAAATTAAATCAAGAGCTTAGATAAAAAATTTGTTACTATTACAATACAAAATGAATTCAAATTTCTCAGTATAGAGCTGGAGACAAATATGATTACTTTCCATCTTCTTTCCTCTCCCATACTTCTTTTCCTTCCTTCCAATTGCAGTACACATTAAAAGTAATGTTCTTGTACTGACAGGAGTGTTTTACCACAAACTTCATCAACGGCCGAAAACTCATCCATGTAAACTGCTCAAACCTCCCTCAGATGGGGATAACAGATTTTGAGAACATGAAGGTGAGTTGTGTACAAAATTTTTCTTTATTGCTCTGTAACAGTGCTAACTGTCTCACACCAACCTCCTCTTCTCCCAATCCTATTTCTGTCCATGGTGTCATCATATTCCCAGTCCCTCAGGCTCACAGAAGGCTTCTTCCTTCTCCTTTGATCCCTACAAAGATACTGAGAACTGTTAGTTCCTCCTCTGGTTTTCTTCATTTCTACTTTTTGAATCTTTATTGCCTCATACCTAGAACACTGCACTAGCTTCCTACTATCAGCCTCTCTAAAAGAGGCCTTTAGATTCAAGGAGTCTGCTTTTAGGCTGTCACTTTCCAGCTACTTATGTATTCAGAAACTTTCTTTGGATCCCTTCTGTTTACAAGATAGTCCAAACTCCTTAGTTTAGGACTCAAAGCCCTCCACAAATTTTCTCCAGCTACCATTCCCCACCACCACCACCACTCTTCTACATGAACCTTCTCCAGCCTGCCAGGCCTAACTCACAGCCTTGTAGAACTGTCTGGTGCATGCCTCCCTCTGTCTTTGCTCAGTTCCTCTTCCCCAGTAACATGACTTCATGACCAATTCATTCTTATCTTCCCAGGAGTCTGTCCTGATCTTGACATTCCTATAGTAACCTCTCTTCCTAAGCTCTCTTAACATTTTACATCTCTGATACCTATTTAGCACTTGTATGAAACCATATTTTATACCTGCTTTGCTGCCTAAAAATACATTTATAAATGTATTTTATCTAATTATTTAATGTATAAAATACATTAAGCTCTTTGGGTCTCATCTACTCTACTTTGCTTAACAGTTCCCTCCACTTGTAGTGTTTTACAATTTATAAAGCACCACATATATAATCTCATTTGTAACCTTTCTTCTAGCACCCTACCCCAACAAATAGGGTTTTCTCAGTGCACACATATCCATAAATGCTCCTCTTCAGTGGTTCACAAACACAGCTAGACTTCAGAATCAGAGTAAAAAAAAATGTTTAAAAAAAGTAGATTCCCAGGCTCCACCCTCCAGAGATTTTTAATTCATTGGTCCTAGGGTAGACTTTGCAATCAGTTTTAGAGTTGTGTAATTCTATAAGTCATGTGGTTCAGAATATAAGGAAAATACACTCGTTAATATTCAAGTACTGGCTGAACACAGTGGCTCACAGTGGAGGATCACAGGAGATCACAGGAGGATCACAGTTCAAAGCCAGCCTGGGCAAAAAGTTAGCAAGACTCCATCTCAACCGATAAAAACTGAGTAAGGTGGCACATGTCTTGTCATCCTAAATACTGGTGGAAAATGTAAATAGAATTGCCATCCACGCTCACTGGGGCATAAACCTGAGACACCCTCCCCATCTCAAAATAACCAAAGTAAAAAGATCTGGACATGTGACTGAGGTGGTAAGACTTGCTAGGAAGTGCAATGCCATGAGTTCAAACACCTGTACTGCCAAAAAAGAAAAATTCAAGTCCTTTTACTGGCAATGAGATGTGTGGAAATTCTTTAAACTATTAGACACAGAGCTAACTGAACATTTACTTTCTTGGATTTTCTAATAAACATCCATTGTGAGTGCTTACTCTGTGTTAGGCACCATACATATCTTATTGCAATCCATTCTCATTTTACTTGCAATTTGCAAAAGATTGTTCAGATAATAACTTTAAGAGCCAGGATTTAAATCCATTCTCTGCAACTTCCCAACTCATGTCTTTTTTTTAAAATCACTATACTAAACCAGGCACTGGTAGCTCACACCTGTAATCCTAACTTGGAAGTCTGAGATAGGGAGGATTGACGTTCCAGGCCAGCCCAGGCAAATATTTCATGAGACCACATCTCCAAAATAACCTGAGCAAAATGGACAGGAGGTTTGATTCAAGCAGTAGAGCACCTGCTTTGCAAGCATGAAGCCCTGTATTCAAATCCCAGTCCCACCAAAAAGAAAGAAAGAAATCACTATACTACATTGCCTGTCTACACGAACATTCTTACAGCCATAAACTTCCATGTATACAATGTGGAAAGGTCCAGTTATATATGGTATTTCCAACTGTGTCCTCATATAGCTACCAAGTACTGCCAGGTTAATATCTTATTCTTTTTAGATTTGAAGATGATAGAGCTGCATTTATGAGCTCAGATTTCTACCTAGAGTGTATTGAATTTTCTACATAAAAATAAGGATTGGAATTAATAAAATAGTAACTATAGTCCAAATTCCTGAAACATTTAAGTATCTAGAATTTCAGCTTTTTATATAAGAAAGGATTTTTTAGAGTTCACCAATTATTTTGCTCCCTTGACATTCTAATTCCAAAAGTATAATATCAATGTGTCATAATAAAATTATAATTAATGCTTTTTCTGGTCTTGCAAGAAACAAGGTCATAAAATCTCCTAAAACTCCCAAGAGTAAAAGATGAACCTGAAGGTCTATCCTTATAGTCCAAGAAGTTTGAGTAAGCTCAAACTTACTTATACTTAACTTGAGAATACTTAAGTTATCAGGCATATGGGGCTGCTCCCTGAGGTCACTAGAGCAACAAGACACAGGTAATTCTTAGATATCATACGTGAATTTAAGTATGCTGTAGTTACCTTTATTACTGACACAAAAAGCATTTTGTTTCTGTGGTGCTGGGGACCCAAATTCAGAGCTTCAAGCATGTGAGGCAAGTACTGTACCACTGAACTACACCCCAATTCCTATTATAAAGCATTTTTAATTCCCCTGTTGTGATTACAGCTACTAATATAGCTACAATTTACTCCCTAACACTTAAATTTTTGGCGGTACTGGGTTTTGAACTCAGGGCCTCAAAATTGCTAAATAAATGCTCTACCATTTAAACCACACCTCTAGCCCTTTTTGCCTTAGTTATTTTTCAGATAAGGTCTTGTGTTTTTGCCTAGAACTAGCCTTGGACCATGATCCTCCTACCTATACTTCCTATCTGGGACGAAACAGGCGCATGACACCATGCCCAAACTTATTTGTTGAGATGGGATCTTGCAAACCTTTTGCCCACGCTGACCTCAAACCACAGTCCTCCAGATCTCTGCCTCCCAAGTAGCTGGGAATTCCAGGAGTGCATCTTATTTATTCTAAAGACAAGCTAGCCTGTCAGAGTGGCTCAAGTGTGAGGTCCTGAGTTCAAACCCAAGTGCTGCAAAAAAAAAAAAAGGACAGGCTAGACAAAAGAGTATTAAGAGCATTACACTTGCTTCAGCTTTCTCTTACAATATAATTCTCTAAGCCCAGTAAGGTGGTACACCTCTGTAATCCCAGCCTACTCAAGAAACTGAGGCAAGATAATGGTAAGTTCAAGGCCAGCCTGGGCAACTTAGTGAGACCCTGTCTCAAAATAAAGTAAAAAGGGCTATGGTATAGCTTGGTGGTTGAGCATTTGATTAGCATGTGTGAGGTCCAGGTTCAATCCCTAGTAACACAAAATAAAAAAAGAGCAAAGGAGGGGAGGGAGGGAGGGAGGAGGGAGGGAGCAGGAAAGGAAGGGAAGGAAGGATGGAGGAAGGGAGAGAGGGAAGAAGGAAGGAATTCTCAAAATACCCACTACTTATTACATCAAATGAACAAAAGAACTCTGTGATAAATATTTGAATAAGAATGTAGGTGAGTTGCTTATTCACTTTGTATGCATGATTTTGTATTTAAAGTATAGCCTTATAAACTTTGCAGTATCTCAGCAATTTTAATACCTTGCTCTGTTGCAAATTATTTAAGTAGCACAAATTCATAACAAACTATCAGGAGACAGACATTTTTAATTTGTAAAAAAAGCTTTTAATTTGTAAATAATTTCAGTTTTACAGAAGAGTGGAAAAGATATTAAAGTGTTCCTGCATACTCTTAATGTTGATTCTGCTCATGTTAACGTCTTAGGCAATGATGGTGTATTTATTAAAATTAGGAAATTACACTGATATAGCACTGTATTATTAAACAACACACTTTATTCAGATTTCTTCAATTTTTCCACTGATAGATTTTTATTTCCAGGATATAAGCTGGGATTAGCTGTTTCCTCCAATATATGACATGTTCTTGATGATTCTGTTTTTCATGACTTTGACACTTTTTTTTCTGGCAATACTAGGGTTTGAACTCAGGGCCTCATGCTTGCTAGGCAGGCATTCTACCACTTGAGCCACTCCACTAGCCCTTTTTTGTATTGAGTATTTTCAAGATATGGTCTTATGAATTATTTGCCCAGGCTGGCTTTGAACCATGGTCCTCCTGATCTCTGCCTCTGGAGTAGCAAGGATTATGGATGTGAGCCACCCATGCTTGGCGACCTTGACACTTTTGAAGATTAGTAATCAGGTTATTTTGTAAATTTGCTTCAATCTTATTTTCTCTGATCTTTCCCATAATTAGAATAAAGCTATGGATTTTTGGGGGGGGATCTATTACAAAGGTCTCATCTTATCATATTGGGGCACATAATATTAACATGCTTTATAACTAGAAACATTAACCTGGTCACCTGGTTAAGGTAGTGTCAGCCACGTTTCCTAACTATAAAGTTACTGTGTTTTTCTTGTATACTCTGCTCTTTAGAAGAGAGTTACTAAATCCAGCCCAATCCAAGGAAAAGAAAATTAAGCTCCATCTCTTGAAGGGAGCAGTATCAAATATTTACATATAGTAAAAGTACCACAATGATAAATCTATTGGGGAAGATGGCATCGAGCTATGCAAACATCCTGTTTCTCCTGAGTCTTGCCCACAAATTTTAGCATCCATCAGTGGGTCAGCTACTACTGTGATGTTTTAATGATCATGTTCTATTTCCTTCATTCTATGTTTAGTTGGAACCTTTGGGTCTGGCTTCTTTCCCTTAGTAAAATGCATTTAAGATTAATCTATGTTATTATAGGCATCAACAAACGGATTTTAAGGAGACTATACATTTCTGCATTATAATGGTGGTATAGATGATTCATATTTGAACCACAATGATTATGTCTTTAGTTTT